CAAACCAAGACATCTTGACATCCAAGATAAAGTTCTCTTTGAAGCTCCCTGCTCCTTCGTAGTTGACTGAGAACAAAGAACTGTGCTCCTGATTTTTAAGGAAAGCTATGCACCCTGGAAGTAGCTTGGGCTGCACTTAGACCCTTTCAATGAATGATAAAGTGAAGTTATGCACTGTTTGTAACCCACTGTGACCAGCAGGCCAACGATGGGGTTGGCTTGGAGAATTCTCTCAGGTTACACACTAACGTGGTCCACTCTCGAGAGCAATGGATGTGTTCATGGTCTCACAACTCAAGAGGCTCTGCGCTACCATGCATCAAGAACTGAGGTCAGCACCTCCATCTGCAGCCTCTCAGGACTAGAGTATTGGTTGAGCACCAACTAGGTACCATAAAGGTGGGAGTCCCAGCATTCCAACACCTGCTGCTACCTAGCTGGTTGACAGCTCCTGTAAAGATATACAGCCTGGGAAGCCCACAGAGGCAGTTCTCTACTCACCTACTGGGTCACTATAAATCTGAGCCAACTCAATGGCCATGAGTTTGATCTTGCTTTGTCTACCTGGAAGCTGGCAGCGAGTTGACGGAGCCACATGTGTAAATTAAGCAGACCAGCTTTTAAACAGAGAGGCTGCTTGCGGGATGGGACTAGGGAAAGCTGATGGAGATTATAAATGCCATCTGCTACTGAGTAGATACTGGTTCCTGGCACCTCATGGGTGTTCCAGGAGAATGGGAGCACTTCACAAGGGCTGACTCTTTGGAAGACCGCCAGGCCTTTTCCCAAGGCACCTTCCAACCTTTCCATTAGCTGCTGAGCATGTCAACCATCGCACACACTCCCTCCCACCCCTCCCTGCCAGTGACCACAGAACTTGTTGTTATTAGGGACCACCAAGTCAACTTCAGCTCACAGGGACTGCATGAACAGAGTGCACCTGGCGACCCTGTCTGGTTTTCTGGGCAGTCATCTTTAGGGGAACAGATCAACATGATTTTCCCCCATGGAGCCATCAGTGGGTTCGAACCTTTAGCTTATAAGCTGATCCCTTCCTTGCTGTTCCACTAGGGCTCCTTATGGAAATTCTAGAGGCAGTGTCAATCCTTCTAAGTCACCCGTTTAGACGAGTTTCGCATGAGCAATTGTGGGAGAAAGAGATGGCAGCTATTGTGATGAATAAATCACCCTCTGTGTTCCAGAAGCAAACCTTCTCAGTGCCCCTGCCCTTATGACCTGTGTTTTTCTGATTCTGACCCTGGGAGGCCCCCTACCCATGCCCTGGGACGTGCAGCAGAGAGAAGTCTTGCCAGCACTGCTCAAGGGCATGGACCAGAGCTATTTGGGGAGGGCTGTGGTCAGCTCACATCCACTCTAGGAAAGTCACTCAAAGCCATTTCCTGGTGTACCTCTCCTGCAGCAATGGATTTCAGGGTCACTATTCCCAGGTTTAAAACCTCTCACTGTCTCTAACGCCTCCCCTCGCAGGATGCCATCCAAGTGACTCTGGCTCATGACAACCCCATGTGTATCCCAGTCGAACTGGGCTCTATATGTTCAATGGCTGATTTTTCAGAAATAGAACCCCTTCTGAGGTGTTTCCGTGTGGATTCAAACCTCCAGCCACCCAGAGACTCTGGGCAGCTTGGTGTGGCTCTCTGCTCCCTGTGCAATCTGGGCGCTGCAGGTTTGGGTTTTCTTCCTCCCTGGTTTATCTGCCCCAATGTGCACTGACATTGGTTGTAATTCCTGCCACAAGCCCTGGTTTGTCATCATTGTTGTTGTTAGGTGCCATGGTGATGGTTTCAAAGCACATGGACCCCATGTGTATGAGCAGAACCACTCCAAAGGGGGTGGGTTGGTTGGTTGGTTGGTTGGTTTATAACCAGCCTACTTACTACAAAAGCATTGAAGTCAATTTCAATATTACCTTTCCTCCTTTGGTAACCATTCAGACCAGTATTTAGATCTGATGGGGGAAAACCTGAAGGCTATTCAAGGTTCTGATATCTCACTTCTCTCCCTCTTCTCTCTCTCTCTCTCTAACAAGGGTTTTTTTGTTTTGTTTTACCTTGTTATTGTGAATTGGCTGAAGGCTTACAGAGCAGACCACCAGGTTCCCATTCAAAATCCATACACATTTTGTTTCATCTCATCCATTGCGGTCGCCTCAAGGTAACATCACTCATCCCACCCCCTCCCTGTGTTCCTGGTCTCTGTCCCCTCTTCTTCCCTAACCCTCCCAAACCCTGTCCTTGGGTAGCTGCTGCCCATTGGATCTCAAATGGTTGATGATCCTAACACAGAAGAGGAGTTCAGTCCCAGGCCTGCAGGGTCACTAAGGGCCGTGGTCATGGGGGTTCCCACAGCCTTTCTGCTCCACAGTGATTCCAAGGCTGTGAGCCGTCCGAAGCAGATCACCGGGGCTGTCTTCTAAGGTGCCTCGGGCTTAGTTTCGGTGAGCGCCTAACTGCTTGGGCTGCTGCAAAGTCCTAGGGTCTGGGGATTGGCTGGAGCACTTTCCCTGGAGATGGGAAGGCACAGGGTTGGCCCAGTGGCTTCTGATGCTAGGATCAGAGGAGTTTCTGCTCCTGTGGGACGCCTCATATCAGATTTACCTTCCTTGAGTAGTGCCGCCCTAGCACATAGTAGGTGATCAAAGCTGAAGACAAGGAGAGGAGGAGAATGGAGATAGCAGCTCAGGTTAATAATTGCCTGCCGCCACTATAGCCAAATCTGGTGTTCTTGCAACCAGAAATCTGGGTTTTGCAGCAAGACTAGCATGCCACATGATTCTGTGGCATATTGAAGTGCTTTCTGAATTATTAACTGCCTGCTAGAGTCCAAATATTTTATGTCGAGGTATTTTCTTGCATTCTGAGTCGTGAAGGCGTGTCATCCTTTAATGCTATGAATGATGATAGCTGGCTCCAACTATTTGATAAATCGGGTTCCTCTCTTGTACCCACGCCCTAAACATAATGGATAACCCAGACAATTCTGAGGGGTGTTCCCTCGTTAGCTGCCATTGAGTTGTCGCAAACTCTTAGTGACCCATTCATTGTGCAACAGAGAGAAACATTGCCCTGTCTATATTGTCCTCAGTTATTGCTTGAACCCATTGCCGCAGTCACTGTGTCAATCTAGCTCATTGAGAGTCTTCACTGCCCCTCCCCTTTACCAAGCATGATGTCCTTCTCCAGGGGCTGGTCTCTCCAACAATATGCCCAAAGTTCATGAGACAAAGTCTAAGGAACATTCTGGGTCCTTTTGTCCTAGATTCACATGCATGTTATAGTTAGCAATCAACCAGGAAGTTGGGCATTTAAAAAGAGAGAGAGAGAAAGCTTTGGAATACTCCTAACAGATAGCTCAGAGCCAACACGTAACTGTTTGCTATTCGTGAAAGAATGTATGATTCATTATTTCCATGAACAACTAACTACTTCCTTGCATGAGACCAGAAGAACTAGATGGTACCCAGCTACCATTACTAACATTTTGTTCAAAGATTCTATACAAGAATCCTGATCAAAATAGGAGGGCTGCAGAACAGAATTTCAAATTTTCAGACTCCAGACCTCCTGAAGTCATGAGGCTGGATGAACCCCTGAAACTATTACCCTGAAATAAGCTTTCAAAGTTATAGCAAACTATCCCCTAAATTTGTCTTAAAACCAAACAATAGGGCAATGAATATATCAATGTGCTTTACACAATTGATGTATTTATGGATTGTGATAACAGTCGTATGAGCCCCTAATAAAACGATTTTTAAAAAAGCAATAAAAACCAAATCTACTGACATCTAATCATTTCTGACTCTTCACCGCCATCGAGTTGATGCTGATCCTAGTGATCAGCACTCATAGATGCTGACTCATAGTGATCCTATAAGGACAGGGTAGAACTGCCCCTGTGGGTTTCCAAGACCATGACTCTTATAGGAGTAGAAAACCTCATCTTTCTCCAATAGATAGGCTGGTAGTTTCGAACTGCTGACCTTGTGATAAGAAGCCCAATATGTAACCACCAGGCCACTCTTGTTGACTCTGAATTAAGTCAATGGCAATGAGTTGGGAGTTGAGCTGAAATGAGTTTTTGTCTTAAACGTCTGCCTTGAGCCTTGTGCTGTTTAAAGAACTAGATCCCTGGGACCAAACTGACAAGAACACCTTGGAAAGGACTAGACAGGAGCTCCAGGGGACAGTGAGTTCATGTTGATTGGGGAAGGAGTGTGAGGGCAGTTACCTGGCTCTAAGAATGTTATCTGGGTCATTAAATTGCATCTGTAGAAACAGATGCATTGGCACGTGTGGGGGGCTTCAGAAAAGTTCTCAGAAAAAAATGGAATCATGAGACAATCGGATTCTCACTATCAACAGAAAAATAAAAACAATTTTTCACAGAGATTACCACTGTTTGGTTACCACAGAGATTCACCGTTTCACCACTGTTTGTAGTGAGTGTACAATGCACCCCCCACTCCTCATGCAGAGAAGAGGATTCCATAAGTGTCCCTCAGTGCCCCTAGTCACTGCTGTGTTGATCCACCGCCAGCCCTGTTGATGTGACAGTCTTTGCTGGCCTCCCATGTCCTTCTGAGATCTCTGAATCCTGGCAAACTCCTGGACACCCTTATGACCCCAGTCTATTGGTCTCCCTCCTCCAGATGATGTGTCTTTGTAGTTGTCCTATCCTTGTCCTGTTTAAGATTTAATATTCTCTTTATATGAGTTAATAAATGAATAAACTCACTCCATCACACATCTGCATGCAGCCTGGTGGCCCAGAGGGCCAAAAAGACAGCATGTTCACATGCACAGTTGACTCTCACTTGCCACCCTACCCCACCCCCTGGTTCCTAGCCTGAAGTGTGGCCCATCGTGGGTCTTCAGAAATCACTGATACCGGAAAAGAATGTTAGTAAATGAAAGGCTTCTTGAATTCCCATGCCTTTGCAAACCCTGGCTTCACACAACTTCTTTCTGTCCTCCAAGCCTGAACCTGAGTAACAGTGACATCTTGACCATTTATGATGGCGACGGAGTCATGCCACACATCTTGGGGCAGTACCTTGGAAACAGTGGTCCCCAGAAGCTGTACTCCTCCACGCCAGACCTGACCATCCAATTCCACTCGGACCCAGCTGGCCTCATCTTTGGGAAGGGCCAGGGATTTATCATGAACTATATAGGTAGGTGTTTCACGTCATCAGTGTCTGCTTGTTTGTTCTTCTGTCTGTCTGTCTGTTTGTTTGTTTGTTTTTGTTTCTTGGTGTTTGGGATTCTGGTGAAAATGGTCCCACACCAATCTGACTGTCTAGGGTTTGTGGGGTGCACAGCGGGATTGTGTGATACTGGCTCAGCACATGTACATGTTTGGTCTGGGTGTTTTGTTCATTTTCAGTCCTTTTATACCATGAGTAAACAATGTTTACCTTGAGCATCGTGCCCTTTTAAAGAATGGTCTAAATGGGATCCCGTTGCCAATGGCAACTGGAAGGGTGAGATAGGAATCATAGGTGAGTGTGAGTTCGTGGGAGAGGGGCAACTCGGAAAAGGAGGCAGAGATGGCTGCGCAGCTCACAGAGTGTCATCAGAGTCGCCGGGCGGCACCAGTAGAAACTGGGGGGTTGGTGTACGTCTATTCTGTTGCATGCCCTTTAAGCAATGAAAGTTAAAAACAGGTACTTCATATGCCCACACGTGCGAGTGTGGGCATGTGGTTTTGAAGAACTTGGGCTTTTTAATCAGAAGGACTGACTGGAGCTGGAGTCCCAAGATTATTCTCAATGGGCTGGAAACCTTGGGAAAGTCACTGGACCTCGCTGAGCCTCCCTTCTGTCATATGTAAAATGGGCATGATGCAACCTGCTTCTCAAGGTTGCCCTCAGGAGGCGATGGGTGATGCCAAAGAATTGAAGCATCTAGGTGATGGTGTTGGCAAGGAATATTGCAGGTCCTATGAGCTGCCAGAACCAACCAATCGGTCACAGAGGAAGGATAGCCAGAATAGTCCCTGAAAGCGAGGGTGGCGAGACTGTCTCACATACTTCAGACGTGTTATCAGGAGAAACCAGGCCCTGGAAATGTGGGAGGCTGGTGTGAGTGGAGAAACCAACCCAAGGACACTCATTTACCTGTAAGAAAGAGCTTTATGCCAGGAAGTCTTTCTATACAAGTGGTTCTCAGCCGTGGTTTGCGACCCCTTTGGGGGTTGAATGACCCTTTCACAGGGGTCGTCTAAGACCATCAGAAAACACATAAATATTTCATAATATATAATTACATATTGTTTTGTGATTAACCACTATGCTTTCATTATGTTTAATGATGTTCCATTTGAAAATACATCCTGTGTATCAGATATTTACATTGCAATGCATTACAGCAGCAAAATTAGTTATGAAATAGCAATGAAAATCATTTTATGGTTGGGGGTCACCACAACATGAAGAACTGTATTAAAGGGTCATGGCCTTAGAACAGTTAAGAACCACTGTTCTATACCAAGAAGGTGTCCCAGCCCAGTCCAACTCAAGTCCCTGGGCCCAATGCTAGCCGGAGCCCTGTTCAGACTCACGTCAGTGCAAGCCAATGATGCAGAGAGGTGAAACAGGATGCAGGCTGATGGGTGCACAGTCGCATGGATCCAAGGTCAGTGGAACAAAGCAGGGCAAGGACAGTTTCCGGCTTCATCAACCCACGTGAAGCCACCCCTGGAGGCAGACAAAGAATTCAGGAAAGGAGGAAGGGAAGGGCAAGAGGGATGGGCGGGTGGCTGGGTGGAGGGGGGTGTCCCCCCAGTGTCTGTCTTATCAAAATGGTCACACCTCCCAGGATGCATTATCAGGCTGTGACCTGATTGATAGGTTGGACTCCACCCCTACATTTTCATCCAGGTACAAGTTGACATATGATCTAACCACCACAGACATCTTGCTTGATAAAGTGGAAAATCAGTGAGAAAGAAGGAGACCCTCAATGACATGGACTGACCCAGTGTCTGCAACTATGGGCTCAAACAGAGCAACAATGTTGAGGATGGGGCAGCCCTGGGCTGTTGTACAGGGGCTCACTAGGTCTTAGAGCCTACCCAATAGCATCTAACAATAACAGCGTTATTGAATTGTGTCCCCCCAAAAAAGATATGTTGAAGTCCTAACTCCCCACATCTATGAATATTACCTTGTTTGGAAACCAGGTCTTTGAAGATGTTATCAATTAGGGTGACATGAGGTCATATGGGAGTACAGTGAGTACATTTTGCTCCCCCAATGTGAATGGTGTCCTTACTTAGAAAAGACAAGAGACACAGAAGTGTAGAGATGAGATGAGAAGATGCCCTATGAAGACAGCAGCAGAGATTCGAGTGATCAAGGTGCACCATGGAGCCCCAATTATCATCCGAAGCTGTGAGGGATACCTAAAACAGAGCCTTGCTCAGAGCCTCGGGAGGAATCAACACAACTGAGAGCCTGGTCTTGAACTCCCAGCCTCCAGGATGACAAGATCATAAATCTCCGTTGTTTTTAGATCACCCAATTGGTCACAACATCTCTGGGAAACCAACACAAGACCTAACGTCTTTGGACATCCTTAAGCCCTCAATGAGCAAGTGTGGGTGAACAGTTCAGGGCCATGCTGATGCCTTTCAAGGAGTCCTTTGGCATTGTGAACTCCAGAGTCAAGTGGTCAAAGGCGGATCCATTCTGCCAAATGTCCCACCTTCACCAGCCAATCCCCTCTGGCTGAGGCAAGACTCTGTGGCTTTGGTTCTTTCTTCTTCTTGACTTGAAGAATCATCACCCTTCCCCTTGATTCGCTTGTCCTCTGTGCACCACCTGCTTACAGCTAAGGTACAAGCCCTTCCTCTGACCTCTGACTGTACAGAGGAGCTTCATGCATGCTCAGATAAGCTCTTTTGCTTCATTCTTTCAATTAACAGATATTTCCCATCCTCCACGGCTGTGCGTCTGCCTCTCAGAGAGGCTAGCACACGTATTGATCATCTTTGTTTATACTTCTCAAGGGCCCTTTTACGCCTTCATTGTGCTCCTAAGTATTCTCAAGCAGTTATTGCTGCTTCTTCCCATAGACTGTCCACTCTTCAATGAGCAATGCCCTGGGGCATTGAAGGTGGCCCCTGTAGGCTGCCCAGCCAGGGGGGCTCCGGTGTCAGCTGTCTTCAGAGGGAGATGTTCTCATGACTTGGCTTCAGTCTCTCTCCTCTGACTCTCCCTCCAGCCCCACTGAAGGATGAGGTCACTGGCTTGCTTATTCGTCTTCTTCAGTTCCCAAGTAGATCTTCCAAAACTGCACTTAGCTTGATAGCCCAAGCCTGCCTCTTCAAGGCTGCTCAAGGTTAATCAGAAAGTCGGGCCAATGCGTATAGAGCTCGGTGGCATCAGGAAGAGGAGCTTTTCTTGTCCATTGAACGCGGAGCTTATATTTGTACTGCAATTTAAAGTGGACAAGCTCGCTACATTTGTCTTCTCTTTGGATGCACTCACTCGATTTTCCGGAAAGTTGGGTTCACAGAAGGCTTGACACCTTGCTCTGGGCTTGATGCCGAGACCTTGTGCTGGGCACTGGGGTGTAAGAAAGAGTTGATGGTGGTTACGAAAATGGGAAAGCGGGATGCTGTAGATAAGGAACAGGGAGTGTGGATGCTGCAAAAGAGGCAAGACAAGATCACGGAGAACCCTCCCAGGGAAGCACAGCCTGTCCCCTTTGGACAACAAAGAGACAGAGGAAGAACATTTCTGCTCACATTTCTGTTAAAGGAACACAGCTGATTGCACTGAGCAGACAAGTGGATATTTCATTTTGATGCCAAAAAATTGCTGGCGGCAACCTGTGCAGAGGAGTCTGGGCTGGTATAATCAGTCAGCACATTTGGCTGTCCATCAAAAGGTTGAGGGTTTGAGCTCGCCCCAT